GATCTCCATAGTAAATGTCTATAATGGGATCAAATAGTCCCACCAGTTGAGCAACATAGAATATGATTTGGCACGTACTATCGTAAGACAGAGATGCATGTAGCGATAGTGATGGAGGAGATTTGAACGGTTTAGGAAATAAGATTTATTAGAAGACTTTTTTCGTTTTTTTTTGATATTGTGTGGTTTACGCTAACTTATGTTAAAGTGACATGATTTAACACGTTCTATCCTACTACTAAAACAGAGATGCATGTAGCGAGATAGTAATGTAGAGGATTATTGAATGGTTTAAGGAATATGGTTTATTAGAAGAGTTTTTTCGTTTTTTTGACATTGTATGGTTTACGCTAACTTATATAAAAGTGACTAAAGTACTGTGTTGATGTTAATATCAGTATTTCACGATATCAGTATTTAGTTATTTTATATGTGTAGAATTTCAACTTCTAATTATCGTTTCAATTTTTTATTATGTACAAATTGTTGCATAACTTCAAATCTGTAAATTTTTTCAGCAAATGGAATTTAATTTTGAGAATGTTGGTCCAAATTTACCGAATTTGGCAGATTTGAAAAAGTACCTGCGTGAGGAGAAGCCGCTCTACTACCAAGTATTGGAGGAATATTTGAAAAATGCGGCGCGTTTGGTATGTTTATTTTTGATGTGAAATTTTTTTAATGGTAAGGCATTTCTACTATGTGCGACCGAACCTACAAATAATTTGCTAACTTTTGATACTATTGATTAATGCCAGAAGAGTGTACAAAATTCTAGACAAGAGAAGAAAACCTTCTCTTGTGCGGTCACTCAAATATGCAATGAAAATGTCAATGCAGGGTATTCAGTATAAAGACTAAAAAAACTTTCCATTGAACTCTTCATTACCTGCTGTAAGTGATATTCCTCTTTAGATTAATGAATTAGGAGCGAAATTGGAGAGAAGTGAGCGTCAAGCTCACGACGAAGGAAGGGTTGAGGAGAGGCAACGTGACAATGAGGAGCAGCTCGTGCTCCACCTCCCCGAGCAGCAACAACGTGAGGAGCAGGAAGTGATAGAACCAGTACCGGCACTGGTTCACGATGAACCAGAGGGGGAGGAGGAAGACGAGGTAACGGATTTACGGCAATTATCACACGAGCCGTTCCTCAATGAAGAAGTTATTGATGCGGTGCCAAGAACCCCGGTAGTGGTCCGGAAACGTAGAGAAATAATAGCAGCTCGTGAAATTGTATTGTAAGTTTATTTTCTCAATTATAGAGATGTTTGAAAAATACTAATTGCCTACCATGAAATGTCGAATTCAATTAATTTATAAATTTATTTTAAAAAATGTTCATAATGTAGAA